CGCTGGACTTCTCCGGCGATGACTACACCACGATGGTGGATCCCAATGCGGTGATGCCAATCATCAGCAGTATTTCAGCGAATACGCGATCACCGTCGCCATCGCTGAAAGAAAGTCATTTAACGTTTTCTCCGGCTAGTATTAAACCAAACGGCATTAGCGTGAAAACCGAGGTAGCGGCTGTAAAAAAAGATCTGATTAAGAAGTTAGACGACGGTAACATCACTACATTTAAATTAGGCGAACGTCCTTCGATTAAAATCGACAAACCACAAACTATTAATGTTGTCAATGCAGTCATAAATAGAAACGTAGGTACGCAACATTTTATCAAAAAGAGCGCGACAGGACCGATTATCAACACCATCAAGAAAGTTACTCCGATCATCTCGAAGGGGATTGTTAAAGTCACAAAACACCTTTACTTTCGTTTCGAAATACAGTCGGTGGTAGGCAGATAGCGAGTCCGGTGACAGTTGCGCAGTTGGCGAATTTAGGCCAGGTGCGCACAATCAGCACAGCGCCCGTAAACCACACGCGGAAACAACAGTTTAACAACAATCGCATTTTCGCTGAAGATGTCAAACCCTTCCCGAAGCCGGCGTATAGCTATAGCTGTTTGATTGCAATGGCGTTGAAGAATTCCAAAACAGGCAGTCTGCCTGTGTCTGAGATTTACAACTTCATGTGTCGCCATTTTCCTTTCTTCAAAACAGCGCCAAATGGCTGGAAGAATTCGGTGCGGCACAATTTAAGCCTGAATAAATGTTTCGAAAAGATTGAGAAACCCGCGGTGAACGGTGCGCAGAGAAAGGGCTGCCTGTGGGCGATGAACGAGTCGAAGATCACCAAAATGGACGAAGAGGTGCAGAAGTGGAGTAAGAAGGACCCGTCAGCGATACGGCGCGCTATGTCAAACCCGAGCAATCTGGAGGCGCTGGAGCGAGGCGAATTGAAATTCTCCTGCAGTTACGAGAGCTATGAAGATAACTTTGGGGATTCGTGTGGGAGTGCCGAGAGTGACGGGTCGGAATATGAGTCCGAGATGGATACGACTCCGACCACGAAGATTATTCACGCGCAGCCACAGTACATTAATATTGCGAATATTAAGACGGAGCTTAAACAAGAGGTGGATGATGAAGAGGATGAGGAGGAAGAGGAGGAGACTGATGAGTTTGATGTGGAGGTTAGTTTTCTTTATTAAAAAAAAATTAAATTCGAATATTTAATTTTTGTTTGTTTGTTTAGGTTGCCGATTCATTATACGATGATGAAATCGTAGATGATGAAGACTCGGAGATCCTCCACATGGAAATGGCGCTTGCGCAGAAAGAGTTACTCGAGTATGATCCGTCGGTGCGGCGCCGGAAAAACATCTACATCATACAGAACTAACGTTTGCCCTCCACGCCGTAAAGACTTCTTAATTCTATAAGAAAATGCGCTAAGCAAGCAAACTAGTAGGATTTGTTAATTTGTAAGTTAAATTATTCGATTGTCATGCCAGCGGTGCGCCGCCACTGCTGCAGCCATGTTGTTTTAAACATGGCAGAGCGTGAAAGGGCGCGCCGGTGGCGTCGCATTTTTTCTTTAAAAAAAAAAACGAATATAAATAAGCGCCGCCCGCGATCGCTTTGTGCAGGCGCCGCTTATTTGCTGAAATGCTGTGTAAACGATGGTGATATAACAATTTTGGTTTCTGTACATATATTTCTAGCGCGTAAGGTTAGTTTGCCGAGCGGCCGCTATTGCGGCGATGACACTGCCATCTTGTCGGCGCAATGGCGGCCCGAACCTTTTCTCTCGGTGTCGAAGCAATGTGAAAAACACTACTTTAATTTAACTATTCAGTTACTATTTTTGATTATATTTTACATTTTACATTTGTTTGCGTTTTGACGATGCATGGAACACTGAAACAATCCACATTCGGGACCAGATTTGCGGAAGTCAGAAAAGTATGATATTAAGTTTTAACCCGTTGACACTTGATGACGACCACTGAAGTGGCAACGGGTTGACACACCAAATTCGGTGCTGTGCCGATGCCAAACACATTTTGTCACAGAAGAAAAACACCTAATTAGTTTTAAGGCATTGTATTTTCTATTTTCACCGTGGACTGATTATAATTAGTTAATTAAGTTTGCTGTCGTCTTGAAGATGAGAGATGCAAACATTTTAAACTAGCAGAATGCGAGGTATCTACAGGAAAATAAAAATTAGTGACTATAAAATAGAAGAGCGTCACTTGTAAAATATTATAAATGTATCTAATTTGTGCGTACATTGCTGAACTACTTACTAAAAAAAAAACAAGAGCAAATGTGCAGAGTGTGAATGGTGAAAAAATGTTTTGTATTGTTTAGTTTTATATATAGACGATAAGTAGAGAGTATATAAGCATAAGATTTTGTAATTTTACATAACAATTGTGAACACTGAGCGAAGGGGTAACACCGGTGCGTGATGAAAGGGACGCGTAGGAAATGTGAAACAATATTAGCTGTAACATAATGTGTACAAAATTAAGTTACTTAAGAATCTTTCCATCTATATTTGGATTGGGTGATCCATATGTGACGTTGTGAATATGAGAATAGCGGAAAACTCAAAATGAATAAAAAATTTAAAGTTGTGATTTTTTTGATACTGAATAATTATTGTGTTTTATTTCACAATTCACAATTAGTTTACGCACTGAAATAACAAAAACCGCTGAAATGTAAGCACAATTCTAGAAAATTAATGTTTTAATAGGAAAATCAATATGCCGATGTATTTATTAGTCATTCAAACGTCTGAAAGTTCAAAGGTTGCCCAACTTGATTATGGACAATCGTATTCGCAACTTTTTTAAACCCTGATAATTTTAGCTTCTGCGTAGTATGTGGAATGACTAATATTGCTTCGGAATCCATTAAACCTTAATCTGATTATTCTATTTTTAGAATTTATGTCTTATAAAACTTGATTTACAATTTATACAAAAGTTTTTAAACAAATATATTAGATGGCGCTGCATTCACACTTCCATTACGCCACTCTCAGACGTTCAATATTATTGTTCAATCATTTTCTTGTGTTTTATGAAGTAAATCGTATGATTGTGCAAAATATTGATGAAATATAATGTTGGCCTGAGTTAGGCTTGTATTAAGGCGGGTACGATTGAAGGACGAACAGCGGTTTGCGAATTGTTCTTGGCCGACCTCTTCCTGAAGTGGTGGAAGTAGCGGACTGCTGTTTTGCCCCAGTGCCCCCCCTGCAGTGTCGCTGTAGCGAGCGCGTAGTAGTAGAAGTTTCGCGGTGCGCAAGGTGCAGGTTGGTCCGTTCCGTGCGCGTTGTTGGTGTTTTTTTGGGTCTCGCCCGCGATCGCCAAGTTGAACATTGGAAGTTGGAATCTGTCCGGGCGTTGCGTGCACCGTTCAACACGCGCGCAGCTCTATTCCACCGACCATTGCGAGCGCGGATTAGCGATAGCGAGACGTTGCGGACGAGCTAGAAAAACGCGCTAACGGCGAAACCGAACAGTTGTGCACGATCATTGTCGTAGTTCGCGTGTGACGGCTCGCCTACTTTCTCCTAGCGACAACGAAACATCCCAAGTGCTAACAAGATGAACGCAATACGGATCGCCCTCTGCGTTGTCCTGCTCACAGGTAATACGCTCTAGAATATCGCACGAATACCGTTTACCGTTCGCAAACAGGAAGTGCAAAAAAGGGGTGCCGATTGTCGATTGTTTGTATGCTCGCGCGGAGAACAAACAAGTGCGGTGTGTGTGTGGGGTTTTCGCACAGGTTGAGTCATTGCAAACCGTCGTTTGTTTTCCCTTTGGCGTGCTGCGCGCAAAGATGGATTCAAATGCGATTTGCGATTCGCGATGCATTTCATCGATTTTCTCGCGAGCGCCCAGTCCAAGGCCTTGTTTGTACACACCGCGCCAGATTCGGTGCCCGAATCTGTGCCACCGCTGGCATTTGCGAACGTGTGAAACGCTAATTTCCTTCGTGGCAAATTGTTGCCATTGCCAACCGCGGGCAGAAATAATTGTCGTAACTCGTTATCGTGCGTGTGCAAGGGTTCGGACGGCGAGCGCGCGGATTCATTGCGCCGCGCTGATTTATCTTCCTCTGCTTTGTCGCTGATCGGTGTCGTCGTCATTTAATCATCCTCGCATTGTGTGTGCTCGCTTGACTCAACTTCGTTTGCTCAAATAATCCCGTATGCCACATTTGGTCACATCGAACAACCACGCTCGTGTTTCATTTGTTTATTTTTCCATGTACATCTCGAACGTTTGAAGGTCGAACTAGGTTTTTGCGTGTGCAAATGTGATTTGCACGTCTAATTTGTGTAAACAAGTTATCTGATATCAAAATTACCCAGAAATTGTTATTCACGTTGTTACACTGCTCTACATTTATCAGACAATTCACGCGGCAGACGTTAAACCGCATGAATAATTGAATTTAAAGAAGCTTTTAACGTCACTGCCGTAAATTTATGAACAATGTACGAGTAATGAGATTAATAACTGTTTGCCACGCAAATTAGGAGAGAGCATTTAATGTTTCAGATGTGATTGCGATGTGGAAATGCATTCGGAGTGCAATCATTTTGAACAACTTTGAATGTTGAATAATTAACACATGTGACGTGCTTCAACATGCTATCAAACCGGTTGCACACAAATCAACATTATTTACCTTTCGATAATAACTCTGAATCAATATTTCATAATATTTGCGAATAACTGCTACTCTAATCGTTATCTTAAGTGTGTATCATCATATTTAGTAAATACCTGCATAACTACCACGTAAAGCAAAGTTACAGCAAAGCTGAGGTTGTTGTATTATTGTAAAGTGTTTACTTGCATGTTGATTCACATCCTCTTTCAACAAACAGTAATGAATCATAATTATCAACGATAATCAACCATATTTATTATCGAATTATAGGTTGTGCACTCGCCCAAAGCGACAATAACCTCAACCTGGATTCTGTGAAGCAACAAATTCCCGGATTGAATATCGACGAAGCCAGCTTGCCGAACAAGGAGGAAGTCGAGAAAGTCCTCAAGGAAAAATGCGAGAAAAATGGCGGAGCAGGCACTTATGAAGATATTCTCGTAAGTTAACACTTAAAATAAACAGGTTTTAATAGTTTTTACTAACATAAAACATGTTTAATGTCCAGGCTTCCAAAGATAAAGTTCAGGAATGTCTCACCAGTCACCTGAACCAAACGCAAATCATGGAGGAATTGGAGGAGGCGAAGAAAGACGGCTCCATGGATGATATCTTCGGCAAATACTGCAAGAAACGTGAGGAGATTCTCAGCTGCGTGACCGATGTCACCAATAAGGTGGAAAAATGCCTCGAACCAGTTGAAAAAGACAACATGAAACTCGTCCTCAACATAACGCAAAACCTCATCGACTTCGTCTGCTTCAAGGACGGCGATCGATTGGCGAGTAAGTGGATTATATTCACTTTAATTCTAATTTCCTGTATTACTCCGCGGTGTGCTTACGGCTAATTAATGGCTCTTTAATCGATTATTTTAGTGTTTGTCGCCGAGGGAGGTTTCGAGTGTCTGCAGTCTCATAAAGAGGCGCTGCAGGACTGCGCCAATAACACAATCGCGCAACGTATCCCCAAGGACTTGTCCATTACCAACCTTCCGTTGTTAACCTTCAAGGGCGAAACCCAATGCGCGTAAGTCTCGTATACAGTGTTGCCGTGTTTAATCATAACTTTGAGGTTATGTTTCATCTATAGCGACATGGCCGAGCTGCAGGAATGCGCCGTGGTGGTGCTCGAGAAGTGCGAGAACAACACGCCGGCGAACATAGTCGAGGCGTTGTTCAAGTTCATCAAGAAGGTCAGCCCGTGCAAGGACTGGAAGCGCGGGGAGCCGATGCCGCAGCGTAAGTTGGAATCAAGCAATTCCTCTCCGACAATCTATGCAAGCTTCTACGCATTAGTTTTCACTCTCGTCGTGAGCCTGCGTTTGATGTAGGAGTTTATTTACATTTAGCATAACACATTCACACCTAAGTAGGGAAAGGTATACAAGGCATGACAATAGATACATTATCTCTAAACACACACACACTCCACATACACTTCAAATTAATTTATATCCGCCATTTTGCATCCACTGTGCGTAGCGAGAATTTTGTACGCGGGCATTGCATACGATTGTGAAGGCGAGTGAAAGAAGAAATCAAGACAATGTAATTTGTGATACAACTGGTTCCCATTTTTTCCATATCTCTATATATATCTAGTTGAAATGATTTTGTTTGTGTTGTCTTCATTTTAATATTGTTTTAGAAAACAGTGTTACGTAAATATTTTCTTATGATACTTTGTTTTTAATTTTTATATCTATATTAATATCGAACCAAAAACGAGACAGAAACCAATGAATGCAATAAACATGAACAAAATGCAACCATATATATTCTGCCTTTTGAACTTCGTTCTACGTGCATGGCTATAGTGACGTGTTTAATGATACTTATTCGCGTTTTCTGTGTGGACACACTGTGTGTTGAACTTTGGCATGCACCACTACCAGCACACGTGCACAATGTAATCCTGTTTATCTAATCTTTTCTTCCCTTTGTGTGGATCTCTAATCAGCATAATCGAATTTAATCAATTAGTTGTGCTTACGATGTGTGTATTGACAATTGACGATCGCGTAATTTCATCATTTCATCAGCGACAATATGTTGACCTTTGTACCCTTGTATTTATTCACCGTCTTACCGAATGCGATGCAAATGAACAGAAAAATATTAATAACACGTTGTTGTGGTTGCATGCGGTTATGACGAGCAATATTTAATCAATGCACGCACGCATCTATTACTTTTGCTCGGCGGCCATTTTGGTTTCTTATTTATAACTGTCATTGCGCACATGCAATACTATGATGTATGATTCATGTTTATTAATGTTTTTTTTTCTGTGAGTGTGTCGTGTGCGTTACTTCTATAGCTTTGTTAGTTGATTATTGTTAATCAAAACTTCCATTGTTGCTTACGTCTTATCGTTGTGTGCGTTCCGTAGGCAAGTCGCGCACGTCCGAAACGGCGATCAGTGCTGCCAACTTCAACGTTCTCGACTCGCAGCAGATTATCGGAAATAAGGTGAAGCGCAGTCAGTCCGTGGACTTCACGTCGGTGGACAACTTCCGCGACAAGTGCAACAAGTATGCCGGACCTAGTGCTTTCAACGACTTATCTGTAAGTTTACTAGTTGTGTTGTGTTATGTTGTGTTGTGTGACGGCCATTTTGTTTATAATGGTTGGTATTGCTCACTTTTGACATGTTGATTTTTGTTTAGCAATCTGTGAACGAAACAAAACTTTGTATCCAAACTTTACTGCGGCAACAAAATGCTTGCGAATTGCTGGTCAGCGATGGCAAGAAGTGCGTTAGTCGCACGGCGAACAAATTACGCGTTTGCCTGCCGCCGCAAGAGAGTTACCTGCCCGCGTTTGCGATCGCGAGCGTTGACAACGGACTGGATTACTTATGCAAGAACAACGGATACAACTACAATCGTGAGTGCTGCATTATTTTTAATCTCATTAGGGCTAAAATCTAATCTGCGGATAATCTATTTTTTGTGATATACTAATATTTGATGTCATTAATGTATGTTGGGTTGCAGGCTTCCTCAGTGGTCTTCCTTGTATGATTTCCAGCCAATATGGCCACGAACTGAGTGCTTGCATGGCCAACACCAAAACACGTAGAACTTCAAATAATCCCATCGTTTCTAAAACGGAGTTATGCGAGTAAGTAAACTTTAAATGAATGGCTATCATTGTGCAAATGATGTCATTTAATATTTAACTTACGATTTTATAGGGATATGGATAAAGTAAAGATTTGCCTTTCGACATACATCTCAAACCGCTGTTCACATATGAGAGATTTGAAGGAGGTGACGATGGGCCTGCTGGAAGCTGTGAAAGATCCGTGCGCCGGATGCTCGATATACTCCAATGGCATTCTGCTACTCAGCGCGCTTGCGCTGTACTTGTACACGCGCAATAACGCCTACATTTCCGAGTAGACGCCGCTCTTTTTGCCCCGTCATAGTTTGTTTCCGTGTTTCAACTGATTACACTTTTCATCCGAGCGATTATTCACACACTGCCACTTGGTTAAAGGTTTAAGCGATTGCCGAAGAACAAACATAATAGCGAACTGTGTTAACAACTGTAGCGCGAGCGGAACAGTTACCAAAAATGTCCAAAGAAAGATGGCGGACGGCAGGCGGAACACACAAAACGGAACAAAAATTTAACGTTTAACGACAATGTAAATATGTTACACATTAGCGCGTCCCTCGCTCGCCCGCTGTACATATGATTCATTTACGCATTGAATTTTCGTGTCGAATACGCATTCTTAGAGGCTGACACAGTGGTAGGCAACCGTAGATGAGCAGTTAAACAAGTGTAACAAGTGGTAATCACATTAGATCTGCATATTAGGCAACATTAATCAAAATGTTCATGAGTGAGACACACACACACAGAAAGGGGAAATTGTTCATATACATTGTTTAAACTTCTTTTTATCATGTTACATCTTTTCATTCCGGAGTGCGCGTTGACGTTAGGCAACTTTCAATACACCGATGGACAATACCAGAGCAGCACGTGTCAAACACATAAAACAAAAGTTGTCTAACGTTTTACAAGCACACAACATGCTCGATAGCCTTTTTCTCATCAACATTCGCGCATCGTTTCGTCGCGTTTCGCGTAGATAGCAAATTTAACCGTACAATGTTCGTGAAGTAAGTAACCGTAAACAGTTGTATTTAAATTAAGTATTGACAATTTCAATCGTTACCAATACGTACACCACACACAGCAAGACACAACACACAGAACATACATAAAATCACAGAAACAAACAAAACAAAATGGCTACCTGAACTTGTAATAAAAACTAGGGAATTATTTGCGTCGCGCCCAGACTTTTCCATTCTGTACGCCGTGCCAACATGTTTCGGAACAATTTATGCTCGTTTTTCGATGCGCATTTTATTCGCCACGCCAAATTGAATCCAGCTCAGACTTAACTTTTCGCCGCGGCGCGCATAATTCCCGTTTGTGAAATGCTTGAGAAACACACGAAGTATTTACGATTTAAGGTGAACTAATGGATCAAACTATGTTAAAATAATAACTATCGATAAGTAAATGAAATTTAACGAAGCTCTAGCAAGGTCGTCGTAGAAAACCACAAAAAAATGAAGCAAATAATCGAACGAATTGAATTGAAAAGTTGAAAATTTTAAATTCTATCAAAATGTTTTGTTACCTTCGGACGCTCCACGTCTGCATTGAATTTTATGAATTAGAGTTTTAAATTATTGAGAAAAATGAAATGCATTGAATAACTATTAGACTGTTCTATATACAGGATGTTCGGCGAAAATTGTACATTTGAAAAATGCACGATTTTCGTCGAAGATTCGAATTTATATATTTAAATATTTAAGAATTGATGAAAAATTACCGTATATTATAAATATATATTTAAACACTTCACTATAGTGAATGCGAATGCGTACGCGAGAAAGAGAGGACAGAGTAGGAATTATTTTTGAACATTTTAAGCAGAGCGACACAACGTAGCAGTGTATCGATAAAACGATAAATAATGTTAGCCGTTTAACTAAGATTTAACTATTTAGATGAGAAGAACTAATAATTGTGGTCTACCAAAATACATTTACACATTAAAATCCCGAAAGAAGCTTAGGAAAAGCAAAAATCTATTTAATTATAAGTTACATTTACAGTTAGTTGCAGTTTTCATACGATTGAATAAGCCTATGTAATAATTATAATTGTAATCAAGCACACACGTTAATTATGATGGAACTGTGTGGATAAAGTTGTGAGCTACTTTTAGTCAGAGAACTTCTGGTTGTGTTAGGTTAGGTGTTTAAAACTTTTATTGTCTAGTTGAGTCTACTTATTTTAATTTGCTCAAATTTTATTTTTTGTTCTTTTTTTTTGTAATGTTAATTGTTATGTGCACAGGTTCAGTATTACTGCTTGATTTCTATTAAATCTATTGAATACAATTAACTATGCAACCATAAACACACTTTACACATGAAAGACCAGTATTGTAAATACACACACGCAGACACACACACGACTAACGAAAACAGTAAAATGGTACAAACGACTACAGATATTACATGAAATCCGATGATGTTGTGATGATATTGTAATGTGACGTTTTGTTTCGAAGGCGTAAGAGACCGTAAACTAATATAATCAAAGATAATCGACCTATCAATTTTTATTGGGTGCTTATACTCCTTTAAGATAGGCAACTTATTTTGCTCTTATATCCTGTGTTTTTATATCAACTTGCACTGAAAAACAAATTTTCCATAGAAATACGCTATTTGAGTTTATTTTTATGCTTGAACTCTGTCTGTTAAGTGATTTATTTGCTTAAGAGCATGAATTTTACAACTTTTTCAAGTATTTTTCATAGAAATATACTTGATTTTAACACTATAGGCAACCTACATTACATATAATACAATTACGCATGTTTTTTTCTTTCTTTTACGTAAAACCTGAATGAACAGTAAAAATTTATAGTGAAAAATATTAAAAACGTATCTACAACAATAAAAACCGTGAAGTTAAAATAGAATTCTGTGAATTTAGTTCAGAAATATTCTATGAATCACTTCTTTGACAATGCTGCCACAACTCGCGGTGGCGCCATCCGGAACCACGGATCTTCTGAATGTGAAATTGTAGACAATCGCAAGCGAGTTAAACCGTAAACGCAAGAGTACGCAGGAGTACGCGAGCAGGTGTCCGCTCCCCTCGTACCCGTCGCGCAGCACGCGAGCGTCGCGACTCGCCGACAAAGCACACAAGTCCTCCCGACACACATGAGCGCAAAGGACGCCGCACGTAAACAGTAAGATGGCGGCGTGAGTGCATCCATGCGTCGTGTGCGGCAGTGTGTTTATCAGTGAAAATCCGCCTGAACAACGTGGAAATTCATCTCGCAACAACGCATAACCCACGAGGTGAGTGTATATCTTTCAATCGCATACAATTATCGCGTGGTTTAATTCATCGCATGCCTATAACGTGCGAAAAACCGTCGCGCCGACCGCGGTGTTTTATCCTGTAGCGAGTCTACTATCGCGTCCGTGCGCAGCGCGCAAGGAGCCGAGCTCACTTCGGCTCCAGCCTCGGCCGCGTCCACACCGTGCGCTGTTGTGTCTCGCGCGTTGTTGCTTGTGTGCTGCGTTTTTAAATACCTGTCTTGAGTCATTGCACCTTCCCCGCTCGAGAGCGCACTCCGGGCAACTGGGCGCAAGAAGTGAACGCCAACCGAACGCGCAGCCGAGAAGTTTGCGCTACACGCGATACCTGTTAATCTTTCGTGCGACGGGACGTAATCTTGCGGAAAAGTTGTTGATCCTGTTTGATTTACACGCGAGGACTTGCCGGAGTGATAAATCACGAGGAAAACAAGCCAAAGTGTGTTTCCAATTGGATTTCTAACATTTTACATAACCATTGTGCTTGATTTGTTTTATTTTTGTGTTTGGAAGTTTTCAAAATCACCCCTAGTGAGAGGTTTTGCACCGGTGCGTTAATTAAATCACCTTTATTTGGGCAGAGTATAGACCAGCTGAACAGCACTTGTCGGTGAGTCATCGCCAACCACGTTTTACTTCCCTCTAGAAGTTCAGAAAGTGTACGCGGTGTAAACAGATCTCCTTAAGGGTTGATTGTTTGCCAACAGACGGTACTTGATCTGCTGTTAACCATATGGCTTCGGCGCTTTTAATTAATTTCGTTTTTAAGGTTTTACATGACAAATTCATCCATTCAGCTGTTTTTTTCTTTTTATTTTCATCCTGACACATTGTTATTCCACCCCATGAGTTGGCGAGTATGTGAGGATTACACTTGTGTGATCACACGTGATATATCCTCAATATTCGAACAATGCTCTTTTGTTTTAACGCGCAACCCCGTGTTTCTATTGTTTTATCTCGTCTCAGCAAGAATAGCGCTTGTCACGCGTTGTCAACCCTTTTGTAAGGGTTTTAGGGATTGCTTCGGGATTTCAATTATTCCAGTAGTAGTTTTTTGTATTACTCAAAGGAGTAATATTTCATAGTTATGGATGATACTAATGGTTTTTCGAAATGCAGAAAACTATAATGCATATATCTCGATAAATGTGAAAAGTTTGGGATAGGGCCCGACTATCCCAATGAAGCGTGTCCTGGCGGTGGTTTTTTCTGAGGGTGGTGTAACGCAATATCGAATATTGTGCAGTTGTGCACACACTGTGTATGAATGTTTCAATGTAGATACACGAGACGGGATTTTCACCCCACGGGCCGAAAGTTGTTGGGGGAGTTTTTGACCTCAGCAACCCCTCATTCCGCAAATTCACGTCAGGCACGCTCCCCGAGCCTTTGGACGTGTTTTTTTCGAGACAAATGATCAGGGGATGAGTTTACTCATAGAGTACAAGTTGATATTACTGATTGTATTACTGATTTTTCTTGAACAGAATGAAAAGTTATAACATAACAAAGTTACAAATTTAAATTTTCAGTAAAAATCTTTTTGATTAATTTAAATTACAAAAAATCGCGTGGGTCACACCACAACCCTCAGTCTAGACGCGTCCGATTCAAAGAGCAAAAAATGTTTGTCCGAGCCATTCATTAACGTTGCACTGTGCGTTCTGCTCGCTGATGTGGTTTTAACATTTTAATAGGGTTTGATTAACCCGTGAGACGGGTTCATGCGTTTTCCTCGCCGGGTTCACCTTACAATCTCACATTGTTTACTTTTCTACGCTTGAATAATGTGACTGTGTGTAGGCACTTCCTCGTGCTGCGCGAAGACCGTGAACATGAAGAGTCCCACGCTCTTGTTCGTACTTTACATTATAATATTACGTGTTATTACATAGATAAATATAAAAAAAGAAAAAGAAACGCATTCTTACAACCAGTAAAATTATAGTATACTATTAATTTTAATTTTTTATATTTTCGAGAATTTTGTGTTAAATTAATCTTTTGTTGTTTCTTTGGTAAGTAATCGAGTAGTAGGCTATTAGAAATTGTATATGGTATGAAACACCGTTTGAGAAATTTGTCTCAACGGGGAATTTCTCTTGTTTTGCTTGTTGTTTCACGCCGGCGTCGCCGGCGATCAGTAAGTTCAACAAACTCGGACGTTGTCGTAAATTACTTAATTAGCGATCTGGCGTACGCGTATATCTCGTATATCTCGCGATTGCATGTGATTAAGGCGGAGGAGATGTATGCAAATATCGCTACCGCTTGTATATCTCCAACACAACTCGATAGCGCATCGAATTCCGATCGTAGAATTCGATCTGCAAGGCAAATATTCAATTAAAAGTGAAATAACATTCCAGCGAGAAATTCACACATTTATTACAAAATAATTGAGTTATCACCATGGAAAAAACTCAAGCAATCTCTCACCCTAATGACATTTATGGAATTCTATTAAAGCAGTGTAACTGCTTGTTGGATGTAATAATTCGATTACTCTGCCATAGTCGCCCTCGGATGCAGTTCATGTTCCGTCGATATGGGCGATAACTTAGAATAATATAAGCTAAGTGATGTATTTATTGGACGTGTTTTCGAGAATTTGGAATATCCGTTTATTGCCCGGCGGTTCCACATCCTAATTTCCTGCATTCAGACTCACCGAATTATTGATGACACTTTATTACCTCCATTAGCTTTTCCTTCACCAGCGAGAATTGTAATATTCCTAAAAGCGTAACGCTGCATCCGCACAAAGTAATTAATTGCATGTACACGTAATTGTAGGGTGTTACTCAAATTAATTATTCAAGTGGTGGAAATGTGCGAATGTGCAAACCACCTGTGACACTTTTTTAAACTGTAGGTACGCTGCATGTTGAAATTAGTTTTACATTTGCACTGCGCGCACAAAAGCGAAATGCAATTTCCTGCACTTTGTGTGTTACGCCGCCTTTGACGGCTTTTGTCACTGGTGCCGGGTAATATATCCATGTGAACATTTTATTGTGGAAAAAATCGTGCACAAGTGTTTAATACTTGGACTTTATTTTATTTTGGATGAAACGTCTTTGTCTGTGCTGTATTAGAGTAACAACAATTCCGGGTTTATTGTTATTATTATCTCGTCTTGCGAGTGTTTTCCGCGTTCGGGCTTTTATAAGTTTTATGGCAAAACCCTTTTTGCGCAGCATTGGGGCTTTTATCACCATATTTTTTTCCGCTGCCGGTGAACAAAGCGATGTGCGCGTCATTCGGTCAAGTGTCGCGGTGGTATCCTGCGAATCCGGCTGCTTCTGCGGCCGGTACCGATATAATAAAGCGGGCGCGTTCAGCAGGACACAGGGCAATGGCGCGGGCGATAAAAATACGAAATGAAAGGAATAAAAGCAGCGACAGAAACGTCAGGCTTTTGTGTGCGATGGTTTCGAGGAAAGACATTTCCTGCTGGAAATGCTTTGCCAACGGACAACCATTTTGGATTTAGGATTATACAAGGTGAAAAAATTTATGAAAAAATGTTATATTATATTTCCGGTTGAGTTATAAATTTTATTAAAAAAAAATGATGAACGGTACGAGTGATGTGATAGCTTCCTGTTTATTTATTGTTACATTAGTGATGTTATTGTAGAAGAAAAATATTCTATAATTCTGAAGCATTCCTATGTAATAGATGTAAAACATGAAAAATTGATTTTCCTCCCGCAAAGAACTTGAACTAAATCGCCTTAACAGGAGAACTAGAAATTCACATTCATTGTAAACCTTAAGCGTACGCCGAATCACAATGGTGGCTGATAAAAAAAGGGCTTCGCAGATGATTCCGAACATTTTCTAGCATAACGATTTTACGCTCCAACTGCGCGCTCCGAATCCGCCTCGCTCTCTGTGGCAAATTGAATGACGCCAACTCTTTTGCTCTTCCTGGCCGTCTCCGCGACTGATTCTTAAATAGACAGGTGATTGGTATTTTTGTTGCTTCTCTCCGAAGACTTTTAACTCTGCTAGATATGCGACCTGCTTCATTGCTTCGGCTCGCTTCACTTATTTAAGTTATTTCTCATCGCGCGCGCGAGTTCCACTTCGTATGCCTGAATACACTCAGCGTATAACTCGTAAATTCACTCCATGCGGCTGTCGCTTTTCCTCGAAGTAACGTCGCGCACAAATTGCCGCAAATTGAGGAATCTAGAGAAACATCGAAGACGTGTGATTACTGTTTTCATCCGCGTTGAAGACTTAAGATATGACTTAAGTAAAATATCAAACGATTCCTAAGCTACTTGTAAGTGCGGTTTCATGTTCATCAGGTAATTGCTATCTACCGTTTGCAGATGATTACAAAAATTTCAGTCATAAAATTATTTGTCTCTTAACATTTACACGTTTTCTTGAAATTGAAACAGAATTACTTTAATGGCACGTAAAATAATTGTACATGAAGTAACAATTAAAAAAGCGTGTGATTAATTGCTGTGAATAATGAATTTATGAGTTTACAGCGGCGCACGCTTGATTAAACTGATCAATCAATGCGATTCCGAACTAATGAGCATTGCGGACGTTTGCAAGTTGGAAAACGTGCGGAATTTCCACCCGGAATCGTGCGCTAAGCTTCGGTTTATCTCTAATTTTCTGCGCTAAACTTCTGGTTTCCAGCCGGGGTCGGACGCGATTTTACAGTTGATTAATAAATTAACCACGAATCAATTTAAACCGGCACAACGTTAATCGAGTGAACGAATGAGTTTCGGTTGGACAATTCTGCTAAGCAGCTCAGCGAACGAACAAAACGTTTCATTAACTTCTCTTCGCTTAGTTTATTTTGACATTTTTGCGAAGCTGGTGTGTAAAATTTATATAGTTTATAAATGATTAGATACTCGCGGCTAAGAGTTGAGATTTTCCACAGCACGATTTCCCGCCGCACGCTCACCGGTACACCTGCATGCAATTTGTGTAATTTTCACGCGTTTCCTGGAAATTTATTAACTTAATGACGCCGATGGCGTGGCGCGTCCATTACTGCACTCTGCACTATATATACCTTTCGACACTCGACGCCTCGACTCTTTCTCTTTAATCTGCTTTAATTTGGATGTAATTTCATCAGCGGTAACAACAGCAAAACAACGCTGGAAATGTGCTCGGCGTGCCCACATAGCAAACTAGTGCGAAAGGTTTTTAATGCTTGATCTTGCGCGATTCTTAACTTTAAATACGCTTCAAAGTACGTGTTGCTATGCTTTAATTACGTTTTGTTAAATACTAAAAGAGCTACAGGCTCACCGTTCGCGTTTGTGTAATTATTATTTTCTTTCTTCGCGTTAAGCGCACGTAATGTGAACCACTTTACAAGAAACGTAATTTTTATGAGTCACGAATATTTGTGGAAATTGTTGGAAAGTTGGCATTTTTCAGCAGTATTTTTATCTTTTATCAGAAATTTTTGCTGAAATTTTCATGACTCTTGAAAATAATCATTTCTACAATTGTTTAAATGTTCATAACGGGCAAGGACATAAAGATAACGTTTCATAAGGAAATATTTCTTGTTTCTTTAATAACTATGTTTAAAGTAATTTTTTTACTTCTCTAATTACAATCACGTCTTAAATTTCCTCATTTGTAAACGCGATACAAACGTCTTGTTGCACAATGCGCCAAACTGCGTGTCTAAACGTCTAATTTTACGCTGTTTTACACTGTTTTTTATCGATGCACTTTTTTCGACGGTACTTTCATCATGTAAATCTTTGTATCTTTGCATGTTGTACAAGATATTAATCAGTAAAGAAAATTTCGTTTAAAAGTGGACACACAATATTATTTATTAAGTATTGTTTTACGATTGTTTAATAGAAATACATAATTGAAAACGAAGTGAAATTACAACTTTCCAATCTACGCTTTATTGCAAATCGTTAATTTATGTTATTCCTAATACCTACTTGGAAAAACATTGTAAAAGAAAAACACAAACATTTTTACGTGTGTCAAAAACTTTCGAAACGAATGCACCGGCAATGATTCCAAATCACTTGTTTTCTTTACTAGAAAATCGCCCAAGACCCAAGTGAATGTATCGCCAATATCTACTTCTGGAGTGACTTTTAAAGTGATTGAGTAAATCTCCTATTGAGTGCGTACACACTCTAAAAGGTAATTACACAAACATGTAAATTGGTTAATTGCACATTTATTCCACTCGGCTATCCGCGCTTGTACTAAATTCAATTTAAACCGTGCAATTACCAACCGCATATCTCATATTATCCGCATATATCATAAATTAATAAATTAATAAATGAGTATCGGTTTTTGATTAGTTATAAATTGCTTTGGATTCGAGAACACATCGGCGTCGAAACTCATTAACGTTTTTGTTACAAGCGGTACGCTTCTTGTATTTATTGAGTTTTCGATAAATCCACGTTTTATTGCTGTTTGCATTAGCGGCGTGTGCACTGGCGCAAGAAGCTGTATGTTTCCCGCAACAACGGTCGCGATTGAAAGTAGGCAATTAGCATTTGGTTCTTAATCATAAGCAATAATTCCAGGATTTTAAATTTGATTTAAAAACTTTTAGTGCAAATGTTTTTGGTTCTTTTGGGCAAAAATAATTTAACTGTACAGATAATAATAACTGTGTTGAATACTATTCTTTATTCACGCTTTTATTCAACACAGGTGTGCAGACGTATTACTTTCGTAATTAATTTTAAATTAAAATTACTATTATATAGCATAAATGAATTATGGCCCTTGAAATTGTTAATACCTGCATTCCACTTAGTTCATGCTAGATCTCATGGTAATTGCATGCTTGCGATTACAATATATTCACATCAAATGCAATTTTCGTAAAATCTCAGCCTCTGTGCATTTGCGTAATAAGTTGCGCTGCATTCAAGTTAATAAGTCGTAACTAATCCGTAAAGACACTACCGAGTGTAGTAACCAATGCAATAAACTATATTTCATGCTGGCATTCTAAGCAAACACGAGTGACATTTAAAATGTTTCAATATTGTTCTATCTTGCTGAGAATTAGAAATAAATTCGTTGTGTGTATGTGAAGGAAAGTTTATTCAAATATATTGCACCATTAGCAATTATTTGCATTTAACCGCAATACACGTAATGAACATTTGAATCGAATGTTTATTAGCATAACATTTTGGTACTCGCAACGCGTTTTAATCGATTCTAGAGTGCGTGCGGCTTTTAAGACATAACGCGCACTCAAGCAACACGAATTAGGGTGACTTTCGGTAATAATTTACCTGTTATCTATGATAATATTGGCAATAACTACACATTAAAGGCTTTACGTCGCTGTCGTTTCCGGGTTGCTTGGAGTATTATTTACGGAGAATATAGCCGGCCTGCGTACCGGAAATATCTCATAATGGCGCCTCCACCATTACCGCTTCCAACCCCAGTCGCATATTCTCGTTATTGGAAATTTCGAATACCTGACGTACCATTTGCCCATCTTATGAAATACTCCTATACATTTTCTGCTGGAGAATTTATTTATATGTAAATAATTTATTTTTCTACCGAAACTCATTAAGACCGGTTGCTAAAAGCTGCACATTTGGTGGAGTTGTGCATGTGCGCGGCGCTCTGGTCGGCAGAGATAAAGTTAATTTTAATTAAATCGTTCCGCGATAGCGTTAATTCAAAGCCCGTGCATTTTAACGAAGCAGAAGGAATCTTTGGCGCTCGTCGCTTGCTACTTACGTATTCACCATTGAGGTGGGATTCAGGCGAGCATTCACGAACCGATTCGGTATTCATCAGTATGCGCTGCTTCTTTGCCGCTGGCTGCTATCTTGAATTGAAATTTACATTCCGATGGAATTCGGTACATTTTCTAGATATAGAGTTGTAGTAGTTTCATACGCTTTTATACACGTCCACTGCTTTGGAGTTTATTAATTAACATGAATCCGTGACGCGGAGGACGATTAATTTTAAGTTTAAAAACCAAAGAGGAAATTGAATTCAATCAAATAATTACTGATTAAATAAAGAACCTAAAAGACTCAAAATAAAATAACATTTTAAATGTTTGGATACAACTTGTAGTATTTGCAAATTCAGCTGTTGCAATGCGTTGAATATTAAACATTTAAACAGGCAGCAAGTAACTCGTTGTCGTCGCCGTCGTGAAGAGATAATCACGCAACATGCGCCCGTACGTCTTTCTTCTTTCATGATCAGCTTCATGAGATGCCATAGAAATGCAAGCAGAACATGTCGGGCTATTCATAGTAAGTAGCGTTAAGCAAGTGTATAAAGCAAACGAAGCGCATGCAGCAAACACAACAAAACTGAAAGAACTTTGCTGTGGTGGCTTAAGAAACATAGAAACAAACAGAATTAGGAATGCTCTGTTACCGCGTTTGCTTCCTTTCGCTGCTGTTGTGTATTCTGTGTTTGGAGCGCGTGTATTATGTTATAAATATGGAGTGGAGGTGAAACTCGAACTCGATGACGAGATGACGACGTTGAACTTGTATAAACTTCTTTCTTCTCTCGAGCCATGCTTCCAGTTTAGCAAAACAGCAAACTCTTGATATTTCATACAATTGCAGCGCGAGTCTGCCGAAGTGCGACTTCTTGGTATTCTATTTTTCTATCATAAACTCTGATACGATACGCGTTTATTATGTTGCGACGTGTTTCTTCACTTCTCGGCGTCTCGAGAACTGGTTCAACTTTATATTTCAACTTTTCCGTGCGCTGCAACTCGGCGGTTGGAGTTTTTTTTTTCCGTTGCATCAACATGTCATCATCAAATTTTTGTCTTTGTGTGTATTTTTTCTTCCGCTGAAGTTCAATTTCCTCTTAATAACCTAGGATGCCTTACAGTTTACATCGTGAGCTTACAGCTTACGTTGCAGTAACATAATCCCAGGATACGGTAAATCCTGCCAAAGCTCATTCGTGCGTTAGCTGCGAATTTTACCTCAAGCACACAAATAGTACAAAAAATATATAAATTTAGCTGAAAAAATCTCAGGAAGCCCCAAGCGGAATGTGCATAGAAGCGAACGCGAAAGCTCTTATGAACTTAAAATAAAAAGAGTTGAAATACTCTCTCGAAGAAATATCAAGGCATAAAAAGCGCAAAAATAGGTTGCGTGCACACTGCGCGGCAAGCGCACACTCTTCTGGTTGGTCTAATAGAAACTTGAAGAGTCTCGCGAGAATCAACCGAGTTCCCAAAGGTCTTCGTCTACCTTTACCTGTGTTCTGGCGCTGGCGTTTTACCTTTTACCTCTTCTTGCTCAGCCGCGAGCAAGTGAGGCGAGCGAGAGTCGACGGCAATTGCATAGTAATTTGATTTTTTTCTCAGGACTTCCCTCAAGGCTGTATGCATACAGTAAAAAAATGCAGGTGCATGCGTGTAGGCAATAGCGAATGTAATTTGCCGACGAGTCGTGCCGAAGAGCCACAAGTAGCTGCAAAAAATGTCAAAAAACAAGAAAAAATAAAATGAAAAAAAATTATTTTTTATCGTTAATTTTATTAGAATCCTCGAGTAATCAAAACAGGTAACGATTTGTTTTTGAAAGGTCTGCATCCCTTTCAAAAAAAGGTCGGCGAGTAATTACTCGCGCCGGTGATTTAGATTCGTTCCACTTGACCTGCTTTTTTATTTCTTCTGCTACCTTTCCAGCATCCATTCCATCTTACATTCGAAGGTAAGGTGCGTTTAGATTTATACATCGTTACGCCGCGCAAAGTCGTTGCGTTTTGGGCGATTTGGGTAACAAACGTCTCGAAAAACACCCCTCACGGGACGTGAGTTCCGCTCACTGCGATTTAATGCGCTCGCAGCGTGCACGACCGTACCGCCATCAAACACCATTATTACCACACGACGGTGGGTAATTAAAACGGACTTGATTGACACTTCGAACGCGCCGACCCAGACTCGCCGTGTTTTTGTTCTTCTGAAGATTCAGCAATTCGCGCAAAGTGAGTGTTATTAGACGTGCGCGCGCGCTAGGAAAGTTTTCGCTTCATTTCATTCACCGTAGCGGACGGACGCGAGAGTTTCCGTTATAATACCGCGGTTGTTAGCAAACAACCTGATGTAGCTATAAGTTTAAATTATTTATAGCCACGTTGAAATTTTCTCGTACCAAGAATTTCCTCTTAACTGTTTATTTCAATTACGGTGTGGTATGTACTGTGTGATTGTGAATGTTTTGGTTGTTGTTTCAGATCGAATTATGCCGCCCAGTTAACGATGCGGCTGCGCAATGACCGCCCACGCACCATTTCGACCAATGCGAACGCAAACACATCGAAGTAGGCGTAGCCTGCTGGGACTCACGGGGGCGGTGCTGGTATTACTCGCGTCGTTGCAATCATGCGCGTGCTACCTCCTGCTCGTCACCGAGGACCAACTACCCGGCGACCTCATCTTCGACGCGTCGGTGTACAAGCTGGGCTCCGAGCGCGATTACAAAATCAATTTGGAGCGCTCGGCGTCGTTCGTGTCGCGCCTCCTCCGGGTCGACCCGCACAACGGTCGCGTCTCGCTCAAACAACGACTGGAGTGCAACTCACTCTACTATCCGAATCTATTCACCGTGCACATAGACTCCACTTCGAATAGGCTGCGAGACATTGACTACTACAGTCTGCCGTTGAGGATATTCATCGTCGGCAAGGAATGTTCCAAAGATGCGGAGGAGGAGGAGGATTTGGAGGCGGAGTTTGGTTTAGAGGGTGGTTCCAGAAGCAGGAGGAGCATCACATACAATCCATTTCTGCATCGGGCGCATCCGAATGTAAGAACACGAATTACCGATGCGAAACAATGGATTTCGGAGACTTATGCGTCTTTTGCTATCCCGACTGCTGATAAATGGAGGAAGATCTGTTTGAGACAGTCGCAGTTTGTCAACTCTGTATCTGCATTTCTTCCGAGAACTATAGCGAAATCATGTGAGGTTGATTTCATTGATGTGAGCGATCGACGCTTTAAAATCGAACAGTCACAAGGTGACCTCGTCGCTGCTGAAGACGTCTGCATCAGGGAACCACTCTGGAAAGTTGTCATCTTTTTCACTACTCGGTGTAAAGATTCCAGAGTATTAGACTCTGACCACCGACTTAAGATTGTCTACCATCATCAAGTTTTTAATGATACTGATATCGCAAAGCGGGTTAGACGGGAACTACGTAATCAAAGCCCATTCTTTGAACAACATTTATACGTTGTAAGTGTACTGGAAGAATGTGAACCTGGAGTGGTTGTCACTACACTGAAAGCAAGAGATCCAGAAAACTCACCAGTCACATACTCAATGACATCCTTGCTGGATTCAAGGACACAGTCTATGTTTGACATCGATTCGAAGACGGGAATAGTCACTACCAAAGTGCAACTTGATCGCGAGTTGGTAGATGTGCACTATTTCCGAGTAACAGCGACTGATGACAGTTTTCCGCCGAGGAGTGGAACTAGCATGTTGCAGATAAACGTGTTGGATGCGAATGATCACACGCCTGCGTTCGAAATGAATGAATATGATGCTACGGTTAGGGAAGGTGTTAGTTTTGGAAGCACCGTGTTGACCCTGAAAGCAACTGATCAGGATATTGGGAAAAATGCGGAAGTGGAGTATGCTGTGCAGAGTGTTAATGGAGGTGGGATTAGTACTGCCGAAGAAGATAATAACGCGTTTAAAATCGATGCCAAGACTGGAGTGATTACGACTCGGACCAATTTGGATAGAGAGACAACTGAGGTTTACACGTTGATTGTTACTGCGACTGATCAAGCCACACCAGCTAGCGCAAGAAGAAGTGCAAGGTAAATAAAAACAAAAATGCATTTAAAATTGGTTGTTTATGTTTATGCTTGGTATTTTGCAGTGCGAGTGTTGTCATTCGAGTCCTTGATGATAATGATAACTACCCGCAGTTTTCGGAACGTGCCTACACAGCTACCGTCAACGAAGACATCAATTGGAATGAAAATCCTGTTGTTGCACATATCAAGTAAGTTATTATTTGGATTTTATTTTTAGGATTTATATAATTGCGGTTTTATTAAAATTAAAAAGGGCAACTGATGCTGACCAAGGGAACAACGCAGCTATTCGTTTCGCAATCATCGGGGGTAACACCCAAAGCCAGTTTACAATCGACAGTCTCACTGGAGATGTAACGCTCGTCAAACCATTGGATTACGAAACTATTCGTTCGTATAGATTGGTCATACGCGCACAAGATGGCGGAAGTCCAGCGAGAAGTAACACAACACAACTTTTAATAAATGTAAAAGACGTCAATGACAATGCGCCTCGATTTTACACATCACTTTTTCAAGAATCCGTGTCTGAAAGTGTGTCTACCGGCTATAGCATTGTTAAAGTTCAAGCGTACGATGCGGACGAAGGTCCCAACGCTGACATAAAATACACTATCGCTTCCCAGGACGCACAGGGTATGTCTACTGAAGATATTCCCTTGTCTGTTGA